GAGAGGAAGATGGGGCATTTCTGGGTAAGGGAGCATTGCGGGCATAAAGTCAGGGGCACAGATGACCACAGAGTGTTTGAGGGGTACTGAGTTTCTCGAAAACAAAGAGTAAGGGGTGTTGAATATGAATCAAAATGTGGACCTGGGAAATAATAACTGTTGACATGTGCTTATTGTCATTTGAGTTTCACAATACTCCTGTGAGGGAGACACTATTTTGTGCATGAACAAATAGAGGCATAGAGCTGCCAATTGATTGCCCATGACACCTGACAAAAGGCAAAGCCGACCTCAAACCCAGACGGTCCAGCTCTACGGGCCAAGCTCTTACCCATGAGGTTGGTGGGTCCTGATTTGTGGTTTGTGGGACTGGGGAATCTCTCCTGGTTTTGATGGATCGAGGCACCACTGACTGTTTAATAAGGATATTATACCAGATCGCTTTTAAACAATATCCCTCTGCTATGGTTTAAATATCCTCTCCAAAACTCCAGTTGGAACTTAATCCCTAATGTGGGTATGTTGAGGGGTGAACCCTTTTAACAGGTGATTGGATCGTGAGGGCTCTGTCCTCATGAATGGATTGATCCATTCACAGATTTATGGATTAATGAGTTAATGGATTAACAGGTTCTCATGGGAGTGGGACTGGTGTCTTATAGGAAGAGGACGAGAGGCCTGAGCTGGTGTGCTTAGCCTTGCCATGCCATGCCCTGCACTGTCTCAGAACTGCAGAGAGTTCCCACCAGCAATAAGGCCCTCACCAGATTTGGCTATTTGACCTTGGACTTCTTAGCCTCTATAACTGTAAGAAATAAATTCCTTTTCTTTATAAATTACTCAGTTTCAGGTATTCTGTTATGAGCCACAGAAAATAAGACACTCTATAAAGGAAGGGGATGCTGGCTGTGGTGAAAAGGGTGAGGTGGGAGAGTCTGGAAGCAGAGAGATGGATTGGGAGAGAATTTCCCAGCCAATGAGTTGAAGACCACTGCTGTCCCACAGATGGGTGACAGGGTACCAGGAGCAAGTCTCCCCTCAGACCTCGGCAGACCAGCAGAAGGGGACAGCAGCTGGGGTCACTGGGCAGGTGGCCTCCAAAACATGACCTCATCCATTCACGCAGGTACCATTCAAATATAAGAATTTTCTATGAACATCATGACGTGAACAGTACTGGGAAGTAAAAGATATTTAACTCAGAGAGCAGTGGTGGGGAAGAAAAGGACACCGTGAACTCAATTACAGGACGTGTTTGCCTGGTTGACCCACAAGAGCAGGGAAGAACAGAGCACTGGTGAGTGACACTGAGCTTGGGAACGCAAGTGTCTGATGGGCAGTGGTGGCGCTGGGGCAGCTGGCTCTGGAGAACAGTGAGCAGAGTTTTCGACACGTGAAGTGTGAGTGATGCCAATGTGTTTAGTGGAGGCTTTCTAGTACCTTTTTCCCGATATTTTGGCATAGACCTTATTGATGCTTTTCCCTAATGCTTTCCTTTCTTTTGCTAACTTTAAATTTCAATTAATAAAAGCATGTTGTATTTGAAGTGTGAAAAAGCTGAATTTTTACCAGCAGTTTGAGGATGGGCTTGCAATGGTGAGAACCCACCCAGCTTTGCTTTCCAAGCACACTGAGAATTCCAGAGACACCTGCCTAGAGAGTGTGGCTGGTGGGGAGCTCTGAGCCTAGAATCAGACACCCAGGCTGAGAAACCCCAGCCTGGCCCAACATCCTCTGAGTGTACAAGTCACTCAGCCTCCATGCACTCACGTGTAACCCTCAGTAGAAAGGAAATAACAACAGTACCTATGTCATAGAGTTGTGCAGCTCATGGGAATTAATGCGTGGCAACATTCAGCATGGCTTTGGGCACAAAATGAGCTTCATTAAAAGGTGGCCATTAATAATGGAATCCATTGATCAAAGCCTTGCACACAATGGAAGTCCTCACACAGGCATGAGGGCACAGCACTGGTGGGTGTGTAGCAGTGGGCATGTGAGGTAGTGAATACAGTTGAGGACCAAATTTTAGTGTGGCAGTGACTTGAGGAGCAGACAACACAGCATGTATGGGAGAGTTCATCAACTTCTTGACAGTCTCCAGGTGAGAGCCCTCCTCCTGGGGAAGGACCCGAGAAGAAACCCAAGGTTCTTATCTGCCCGGTGGGAGGCTGGTCCATGTGGGTGGAGAACATCAGTGGATTAAAAATCTAGGAACCCTGATCCAGGAGAAATAAACAGGAACTCCTGAAGAGCAGGGGTTACATACTTGTTTCTCATCCTCACTTTCTGATTTTTACTTACTATTTTCATTTTTCTGATTTAAGCATTTGACATGCATGCAAATGTATTACTCAGGAGAAAAAAAATCATCTACAATCCAACTGAACACTTTTGTGTTCACGTGATTGCTTTATTTTCTATCCATATATATATATTTGGAGATGGAGTCTTGCTCTGTCACCCAGGCTAGAGTGCAGTGGCACCATCTCTGCTCACTGCAACCTCCGCCTCCTGGGTTCAAGAAATTCTCCTGCCTCAGCCTTCCATGAAGCTGCGATTACAAGCACCTGCCACTGCACCTGGCTAATCTTTTTTTGTATTTTTTAGTAGAGACGGGGTTTCACCATCTTGGCCAGGGTGGTCTCCAACTCCTGACCTCGTGATTAACCTACCTCGGCCTCCAAAAGTGCTGGGATTACAGGCGTGAGCTGCCGTGCTGGGCCTTCTATCCATATATTTTCTACAGAATTAATATTTCATATTCAAGGCTAGATCTTGTTTTTGGTTTTTGGTTTAACATAATAGTACATAAAATTTCCCCATATCATTAATCACTGTTTATAAATATTTTAATAGATACATAATATTCCATAAGATGTTGACTCCCTCTTTCACTATTTTACTAAAGTTGAACTTCCAGGTTCTTTTCAATTTTTGTTTTTATAATTAATATTATGATGAACATCTTCATACTGAATCTTTGTCTGGTTTTTGGCTTATTTCCTTAGGAATAATTTCAGAAGGGGAAAATCCCAGGGAACATACTTTTTCCTCCATCTTTTTTAAGCAACAGCGCATTGCCCAGAGAGGGAGTTTAAGAATTTACTGTTCTTTAAAATTCAAGCTGAATTAAGTTAGTAATAACAATTCTGGCTCCCGTGGAAAAAATCTTGATGTTCCTTTTTTCTTACCTTTTAATTACTTTATTTTAGAGACAGGGTCTTACTCTGTCATCCAGGCTGGAGTACAGTGGCGTGATCTTAGCTCACTGTAGCCTTGCACTTCTGGGCTCCAGTGATCCTCCTTCCTCAGCCTCCTGAGCAGCTAGGACTACAGGTATGCATCACCACACCCAGTTAATTTTTAAATTATTTTTGGTAGAGATGGTGTCTTGCTATGTTGCCTAGGCTAATCTTGAACTACTGGTCTCCAGCAATCCTCCTGCCTCAGCCTTCCATAGAGCTGGGATTATAGCCACAGTGCTCAGCCAAAAATCTTGCTCGTTAAGATGCCGAAACACTGGAATAATCACTGAAGGGCAGGAAACAGTGGGCAGTGGGAGAGAGAGCCCCCACATTTACAGCTCCAGTGTGAAGTGAGTTAGGGAGATTTGCTTCTGCATGCTCTTAAAATATTTTTATTCATTAAAAAAACTGATCGTAGAACCTTAAGCATGTACGAGTTCATTTTCAGAGAGGAAATGGACTTCTCCATGTTCGGCAATTTTGTACATTTCAGGCCTTCTTAGATGTCTCTTAGAGGTCACTGCTGAGGGTCATGAGCCCATTTGTATATTCTCATCAGGATGCCGATTTTAGGTGTACCCAGGTCCTCTCTGGCTCAATGCATATTTGATGATCAAGACGGCCCAAGATATTACAAGTAAAAATATACTCCTGGGTCGGGCATGGTGGCTCTTGCCTGTCATCCCAGCACTTTGGCCAAGGCAGGAGAATTGCTTGAGTCCGGGAGTTTAAGACCAGGCCTGGTAACATAGTGAGGCCCCCATCCCTATAAAAAATTTGAAAAATTAGCTAGGAGTGGTGATGTGTGCCTGTAGTCCCAGCTACTTGGGAGGCTGAGGTGGGAGGACCATGTGAGCCTGAGAGGTCGGGGCTGCAGTGAGCTGTGATCTCACTACTGCACTCGAGCCTGAGCAACAAAGCAAGACACTGTCTCAAAAAAAAAATTAATTTAAAAAAATAAACTCCTGCTTTAAGCCACTTTCATGACAGTGATATATTTTGTGAATGTAAAGTTCTGAGAGGATTGGGAATGAAAACATTTCTGATTTTCTATTTCTATTGAAAGTTCAAATGTTCTGTAGCAACCTACTGGTATACTATCACAAATTAGGATAAAATTGATTTAAGTAAAATTAATTTTACTCATTCAAATCCCATCTCTGTTTAGCACAGGAGTGAATGTATGTATTTTTTATTAGTCTTTTTTTTTTTTTTTTGAGACAGGGCCTCACTCTGTTGCCCAGCCTGGAGTGTAGTGGCATGATCATGGCTCATTACAGCTTTGACATCCTGGGCTGAAGTGATCCTCCCCCCTCAGCCTCTTGAGTAGCTGGGACTACAGGCATGCATCATCACACCCAGCTAGTTTTTGTATTTTTTGTAGAGATGGGGTTTCACTACATCAGCCAGGCTGGTCTGGGATTTCAGGCATGAGCCACAGTGTCCACCCAAATATGTTTATTTAATAGAAGGAAAAATAATCATCACACACACAAACTCACCCCTTATTCATGCAATAGTATTCTTGTAAAGAACACAACATGCCTCACCAACATTATTACTCTAACACGCCCAGCTGGTGAGTTGTTTTCCTGATTTTCATGGAGAGAAATGGGGTTCAAAGGAGCTATGTGACTTGCTCAACAAGGCCCATGGGAAATAAAGAACAAACCAAGAACAATCTATAGACTCTTGCTAGAACATTCTATCTGCCCAACGTTAAATGGCAGAGGCTGGTATCCTTGTCCTTACCGGTGGGTTTGACGAGGACTGCCAAGAAGTCTGTGGTGAAGGAGCTGACGTAGAGGAGAATGCAGGGCGCCTTGGTGGTGCTGAAGCTGAAGCGGATCTCCTCCTGGGCCAGGTCCGGGTGGGAGTTCTGCTGGTCAGGAGAGTTCTCTACTCTGCTGCCGGAGTCTCTGGCATTGATTGCTGGTGCCTGGAAGTTATATCGTAGCCACATCCCTTCTTCAAAAAATGCACCAACATCTATTATAGAGGAAAGAGGGAATTGAAAAATGAGGAGAGGTCTGATGCTGACATCATACAATATCCTCTCCAGCAGTTCATGGAGGGAAGACACTGGTTCCAGGAAGGGTATCTGACTAAGTTCTATGCAGAAAGATGTTATGTCATCAACACAAATACTCTTATCAAAAAAAAAAAAAAGCATGTAACATAGTATGATGTGGTAGTCTGTTCCCACACGGCTAATAAAGACATACTGGAGACTGGGTAATTTCTAAAAAAAAAAAAGAGGTTTAATGGACTCACAGCTCCATGTCACTGAGGAGGCCTCACAATAATGGTGGAAGGCAAAGGAGCAAAGTCATGTCTTACATGGTGGCAGGTGAGAGAGAGAGAGAGCACATGTATAGGGGAACTCCCATTTATAAAACCATCAGATCTTGTGAGACTTACTAGCATAAAAACAGCACAGGAAAGACCCACACCCATGATTAAATTACCTCCCACCAGGTCCCCCCGACAACATGTGTGGATTAGGGGAGTTATAATGTGAGATCCGGGTGGGGACAGAGCCAAACCATATTATATGGAAATCTATAAAATTTAAAAAATAATAGTAAAATTTAAGAAACCTACATTATACCAGAAAAATATTTCATGTATTAATAAAAAAGTTTCACATACCCTGAACAAAATTTCATGTACTCAGACCAAGGAACTAATTTTCGGGTTGAAGAGACATGCTGAAAATAAATCCCTGGTACAAAGAACTCATAGGGGCGTCCTCTTTGAGACTGAATTTGCTTGGATATTCACACAGGAAAGCCTGTGATAAACCCTAGGTCCTTAGAAGCTTGGTGTATAGGGTTTACAATCACATGTCTCCAAGTTAGAGAGAACTGGGCTCAAATTTGACTCTGCCACTAAATAGCTGTGTGGCCTCAGAAAAAGTCACTTAACGAATTTTTCTGGGCCTTGGTATTTCATCTGTGAAGTGGAGAGTAATTAGTACTCAATAAATAGTATCCATCGTTATTATTATTGATAATTTAGAAGAAAGAAACCCTTCCTGCATCAGCCTTTTCCTAGAGCCTGAGCAGTGCTTACTGGCTATGAGGCACTTTGTGGCCAGCATGCTCCTGCTGCCAAAGCCTCCCTGCTGTTTACTTAACAATGTTCCAAATCAACCCAGACTCACCGAGAAGGGCTGAGCCACCTTAGGGCTCCTGTGTGGTCTTCATAGTTTCTGTTTCATGGCCTTCTACAAGGGCCTTGCTGAAAGCGTTTCTCACACTCCATCGCCCATGCAACCATTAATCTCACAACACTTGACATCCCACTAAATTAACACGACGCAGAATATATTTTGCAAAACTGCTCTACGTTATAATTAACGGGAGAGGACAGTTTTTAATGGGAGTCTTCCATCTGGGAATTTTGATGTTTGTTCTTGCTAAAGAGGTTGGCATAGAGGAGTGAAGTCCAACGCGTGGGGGTACATCTTGCCCTTGTCGGTAGCAGCCGTGTGAACTCGGGTCAATGTCTTGAAACTCTCTCAGCCTCAGTTTTATCTCTAAAAAATGGGGCCTCACAGGTGGTTGTGAGGATTAAATAAACTGTATAACGCATAGCTTAGTGCCTGGAATACATAAGTGCTCAGTAAAGATTAGTGAACTGTTTGTTATTACAAAGGCAGGTTACCATTGTATATTGAGGGTGACACCCCCGTCCCCCACCTCACAGCACCACACACATGTGTGAAAGTTGTCAGAATCAAAATGAAGTTACTAATGTTAAAAAGAGGAAAAACAAAAACCTGAGAAATGGATCTGGGGAAGGGCACGAGGGGAGTGTTTCATTAATAAATGCTTGATCACAAGAACTACCGCAAAGACTCTGCAAAAAGCACAACATTGCACAAAAACCATTGCAACCTTACACAAAAAATACTTCAAGAACATCTGCCCAGAATTTGCCTGTCCAACCTTGGACTGGTGTCACCTTTGTTGTTGATCTTTGTAGCCAAGGATAATTATTTCAAAACAATTACACACTCCTTCTCCTTTTTCCCTTTCAAAACCTTTGTCTTCACCCCCCTGAATATGCAGTTTACTATGGCATGCACGTTTCCACTGCAATGCTTTATTTCCAAATAAATATCTTTTATTTTAGGGAGGCTCACTCTGTTATGTAGGTTGAAACATACAATCCACCATGGCACGGTTAGAGTCCATTGCTTCTCACCAAGTTGCCGGGAAAAGACTTAACCATAGGTTTTCAACTATGGGGAGTGCGATTTTCCTCTTGGTCCTCTTACCCCCAAAACTTTTGCAACTGTGTGTGTAGGCGGGGTAGTTGTCAAAATGACTGTGGGGTTACCAATGAAATTTAGTGGGCATGGGCAAGGACAGCTTCATGTCCTGAAATGTGTGGGGCTGTCTTACGCAATTAAGAATTCTCCTGGCCGCTGGGCGAGGTCGCTCATGCCTATAATCCCAGCACTTTGGCCTCCCAGGGAGGGTGGAAGATGAGGTCAGGAGTTCGAGACCAGCCTGGCCAACATGGTGACACCCTGTCTCTACTAAAAATACAAAAAATTAGTGAGGCATGGTGGCACACACCTGTAATCCTAGCTACTTGGAAGGCTGAAGCAGGAGAATTGCTTGAACCTGGGAGGTAGAGGTTGCAGTGAGCTGAGATAGTGCCACTGTACTCCTGCCTGGGCGATAGAGGGAGACTCCATTAAAAAAAAAAAAAAAAAGGATTTTCCTCCTTCACATGCTAAAAATATCCTTCTTGGAAAACACAGGATTGAACAGCTACTTAATCCATGCTCATTGCTGCCTGACTTACTGGAGGTGAAGATGAACAAAATACAGTCCCTTCTTGTGAGAAGATTTCCATCTAGCAGTGGGTGTGGAAGGAGAAGCTTCAACAGTTTGAGTGCAACACAGTGAATGTTATGGAGGTTTATTTAGCAACTATGTGATGAGAACCTCATCTCACTGCCTAAAGGTCCTGAGTTAGCTTTCAGCAAACATCTATTGAGCACTGACTGCACACTGGGCACGACGCTGGTGCTGAGGTTACCATTCTTGCTCTTAAGGAGCTCTGGATCTGGAAGAGGATTCAGATAAACAGATTATTAGAATGCAGAGGGGTAAGTGAAGGCTCAGGCAGACACAGAGGGCCCTAAAACACAGGGGCAGTGGAAAACTTGCTGTGGGAAAAGACATCTAAGCTGGGACCCAAAGAGCCAGAGGTGGGTAGCCATGTGCAGGTGGCCGGGATGAGGACCAGCTTTCTAGCTGAAGGCACAGTGTGTTGGCAGTGAGAGGGTCTGAAGTCCAAGGCATCATGTTGCCTGGACAAAATTCATGTGCTTTAAAAATTTGTTTTTTTGAGATGGAGTTTTGTTTTTGTTGTCCAAGGTGGAGTGCAATGGCGTGATCTCAGCTCACTGCAACCTCCACCTCCCAGGTTCAAGCAATTCTGCTGCCTCAGCCTTCTGAATAGCTGGGATTACAGGCATGCACCACCACATCTGGCTAATTTTTTGTATTATGTGCCACCATATTGGGCAGACTGGTCTCGAACTCCTGACCTCAGGCAATCCACTCACCTTGGCCCCCTAAAGTGCTGGAATTACAGGCATGAGCCACTGCGTCTAGCCTCATGTGCTTCTATAGAATCAGTCATTCATTTGAGATCCCTGACACATTTCAGCTGGGTGTTGGGGACCCCACGAGCAAGGCACAGGTGATCCCTGCCTTCAGTAGTTTAGAGTCTGGTGGTATAGATGGACACTCCTAGGACAGGCTTCCGTAAACGTGTCTAACAGAGCACAGGGGAGGGAAGAGAAGTCAGGAGGGGCAGGTGGGGCAGAAAACACACTGTTCAGTTCAACTTGCCACAGACAGGTTCTGCCAGAGAATGTGAGGGTCATTACCTGAGAACAGGCTACTGCAGCGCGGGAGGGAAGAGGTAGACGTCGGGCTTGGAGGGAGGGTGGGAGGCAGGCTAGAGATGGAGGCTGGGGGATTCAAACAAATCACAGTGGGGCAGGAAGGCTGATGTGCAGAAGACACGTCATTGGAAGTTCAAGACTGAGGAGCACAGAACCCGGCCTAGGGAGGGAAGGGTCTGGGCAGCAGAGACCCCAGCACCTGAGTGACAGGTACAGGGCATCACCCACAAGAACCGCCGCTTCCAAGTGTTAGCATCTCTCCAGTTATTTCATCCTGGATCCAGAACTGGAGTCAGAGTGCATGCAGAGCTGAGACTCTGACATCATTTCAGGGACCACTTTTCTGGAAGCCTATTATAATGCAGGTCCCCAGGCCTAGTCCCAGAATTTAGCTCAGAGGCTCTGGAGAAGCAGCACTTCTCACAGGTTCCCAGGTGATACTTATGTGCACAAGGGTGTGAGATGCTTGGAGTGGAAGCTGAGGCGGGAGAATGCACCTGGTGGGAAGGAAGCTGAGTGGTCCCCACCCGGGTGAGACGTGATGCGTTTATCAGCTGCCCTGGAGACAGCCATTCCAAGGCAGATGTTGAAGGGAGATTCAGAAATCCAGCGATTTTAGATAAACAATCCAAAAATATGCTTCAGAGAATACTTGGGCTGTATTTTAGAGACATCATTAAAAAGCTTTATGGATTTATGTCAGTTTTGGATGAAGGGATGTACCATGTTTAAAAGTGTTATTCTGAAACCACACCATAAAGCAACGGTTAAACCAAGGCCTGGGAGTGATGTGAGTCCTCTGAGGCTCCACGTGGCAGATTTACAGCTGTCATTTCATTGTTTCACATCTCTTTAAGAAAATGCCAAATCAGGGTACTGAAATATCTTTTAGAAACCAATTCTCTTATCTCCTCTGAATGAATAACCGAAAATAACTCTAGTTTAACAAGCCCAAAATAGCATCGTTTCCCTCATAAAATTATCAAAAAGTATTGATTTAGAATGCTTGATTTAAGGTTTCCTATTAGTAATATAGATACTAGTCATAGATAAT